CAGCCCTTCCCTCACGCTGTATACAAACATCAGCCCAAATTGAATTCAAGACTTAAACATGAGGCCTGACTATAAGACTACTTTAAAAATACAGAGACGAACGGCTCCATGGCGTTGGTTTTCACAGTGATATCTTGGGTATGTCCCCAAAGGCCTGGGCAGCAAAAGCAAAAATAGACAAATGAGACTGCATTGAACTCAAAAGTGCAGCAAAAGAAACGGTCAGCAGGGACCTTTGAAGAGATGACATACAGGGCAGGAAAAGACACGTGCACACACGAACTGAAGGATTTCCTGCCCAAAATATGGAAGGAACTCGATCCGAAGCAAGACAGCAAGCCACTCTGTTTAAAAATAAGCGAAAGACCTACAAAAACTGCAAAGAGGCACATGACTGGTTGGTGTGTGCATAAAATCCCGCAGCAGCACTCCTCGGGGGAAGGAAGGTAAAACCACAGAAGACCTCCGCTCCCCGCTGGGGAGGCTGCTGTCACACAGCTAAGAGTCCGCAGCCGAGGTGTGTAAAAGGGACCCTTCCTCCATGTTGCTGAGCGTGTCTATTAGCACACCGGCAGTGGGAAGCACGGGGAAGGCCTCAGAAAGCCAATGCGGCCGACTCTGCCGCGGGGACAGGCAGCAAAGTCATTTTATGGGGGAGATATTGTGTCCCGTGTCACTAGAGCCCAGACGAGCCAGGGTACCAAGAAGCTGAGTCAACCTTGCTGTCGCTCTGCGGATGAATGCCTAAGGGAAACGCGACATTTATACACGAGGAAACACCAAGCTGTCACTGAGAAGGAAGACCTGTCGCTGGACGGCAAAAATGAACCTGGAGGACGTTATGTGAAGTTAAAAAAAAAAAAGGCAGGGACAGAAACAGACCCCGTGTGACCTCAGTTACATGTGGAATCTGAAAAGATCAAGCTCCTAGAAAGAGTAGAACACGGCGAGCAGGCCCGGCTGTGAGGAGGGAAACCCACGAGGTGTTGGTTGAGGCGCACCAGTGTTCAGTTAGGCACGAGAAAGAACTCGAGTTCTGTGGCCCCCGGGCCCGTGGTCACCTCCACACTGCCAACTGCTGAAAGCAGAGCTGCAGCGTCCTCGCCACAGATAAGCAACCAGCCTGCGAGACAACGCGCGCTCTGCCTGGGCCGCGCCACAAGGCACGCACACGGCCAGCACCGCGTCACACTCAAAAATATACAGTTTTAGTGATGGATTACGATTAAATGAACCTCTTTGTGAAGAGGCGTGGCTGGGGTGGCCATGCCTCTGGTGGGTCGGCGCTGCACTGTCTCAGCTACAGCAGAGCAGCTGAGGTGGTCCCGCCCGGGAGGAGGAGATGCTACTGGGAGAAAACAACTTAAAAAAGTGAACGAAGGAAATAGTCACGGGCTGTGAAAGGTGCTGTGGCGGACATGCCGGCACAGGGCTGGCCAGGAGGCGGGCTGCAGAAGCGGGAGGGCAGGGAGGGGCGAGGCCACGCTCCACTCACAGCAGTCTGCCTGCTGCAGGGGCAACCTCAGCCTGTGAAGGGGCAGCAGGCCGAGGGAGGGGCAGGAACTGGGGCACAGGGCCCCAACTGGCTGCGTGCAGGGCAGCCTTCTCCTCCGCTCCCTGGGAAGTGGCAGGAAGTTCTTGGCAGGAGTGTGGGTGGTGTGGTTCTGGTCTGTGCCCCGAGCTCAGCCTGACTTTGTGGAGGGGTCGCTGTGGCTGGGGAGAGGGCCCAGACCGGTTGAAGCTCTTACTCACCCCAGTCCCGCTGAGAGCTGCCTGGGGCTGAGGCCTGGGGTGCAGGGAAGGCCGGAGTGGAGGTCGACTTGGAATGTGGTGGAAAAGCACTGGTCAGCAGAGGACACGGGCGTGCGGCTGGAGTTGGCCTCGGCGCCTGTGGATGGGTGCTGGTGGCCACGACAGGTCAGGCAAGACTGGGGGTGGGGCAGGCTGCCCTGAAGAGCTCTGGTGTGGACAAGCTGAGTGTGAGGGCCCGCGGGACCTCAGCCCAAGGATGTGGAGTCACGGGTGTGGGACAGGGCGGTGGAGGCTCCACGGGGGAGGTGAGGGAGGCATCAGGTCCCCTAGACAACTCTCCGTGACGGTTTCCTCGTCTCTGGAGGAGGCTTGGAGTGGGCTCCCAGTAGCACTTAGCTCGTGGGCTTAGTTAAAACACAGGAAGAGCTGAGATTTCAGTAGTGAGCCCTCATTGGGTCAATGTCAGCTTGCTGCAGTAAAGATTATTGTCATTTTAGCTGTGGGAATTTTCTTGCCACTGTCTCTAATTAAAATCAAGGACCTCAAGGGCTGGCTAGCCCGTCTGATACCTTTGGAGCGTTCAACTGAGGAGCCTGTGTGCTCCCAGGGCTGTGGTCTGGCCTCCTCTGGAGCCCGGCAGCCTGGGGCCAAGTCCAAGGAGGCACCTGCCACTCACAGGGCCTGGAAACCTGCTGACTGGGGGGAGGAAAAAGCAAAATCAAAACGCTGACTGCACCGAGTCCCTGAGCACCAAGGCGATCAGAAGGGTCCTGGGGACAGCGAGGGAGGCACAGGACCTTGGGGTGGTCTGGGGCACCACACTTTCAGCACCCTTGTCCCAAGATGGGTACCCTGTTGCTGCTGGTTGGCGCCCACTCCTGCCTCCGGTCCAGACTCCGCTCCCTTCCACAGCCTCTGTGAGGTTCACCAATGACCTGTCCTGTCCCCAAATCTCTTCCACTGCCTTCTCTGTGGTCCCCAAAGCTCCTTCTGTAGCGATTTTCAGGGCCCCCGGCCTTTGGGTGAGCCCACACTGGGGCCTCTGCTCCCCACTGGAGTCCAACAGAGCACACCCGGCATCCAGAGTCCAGAGGGCCCGCCGGTCCCTGGGTCACAGGGCTCAGCAGATCACTCTAACGCAAGTGCATCGTGTGCAGTCCTCCTTCCCTTGCTTCAGCAGCAATCCAAGCCCCAAGCTGGACCAGGCTACTTCGCAGCCTCATCCACTGCCCGCCCGGTTCCTGGTCCTCCCAGGAGAGTGGCCGGTGGGCGGTGGGCTTGCCTCTCCCACCTCCTCTTGGGAGGCTTTTGTCCCCAAACCCAGGTCTGCACAGCCCGCAGTACTTCCGCGGTCGGCTTAGGGCTGCAGGCTGGCCCCACGCCTCTGCCTCTCCCGAGCTGCGCCCTCTGGCGGCCAGCAGCCGCACTGCTGGGTGCCAAGCAGCAAGGGACGAAGGTTGGACCGGAGCCTAGTGGCTGTGACCTCAGTTCACTTCCTGAGGCTTCCCCCACGCCGCCCCGCTGAGTCCCTGCCCACACCCTGGCCTGACACAAAGGTCCTGCAGCAAATCGCCTTCTCATTCCTCCAAGGACGGAAGAGAGGTCTCTTCCCCGCCCCCACCTTGCCCATCTGCACAGTCTGAATGCCCAGCGCCTCGCCCCGCACCAAGAAGTGGGGGTCAACTCTGCACCTGGGGTCACAGTGGGGAGCAGGCACTGCAAGGGAAGAAGAGTCCCCGCTGTGCCCTGTCCCCAAACCATAATCCTCACTCTGTCCCCATTGCATCCTCCTTGCCACTTGGTGGGCCAGCTCAGCCCTGCCTGCCTGCCTGTCTCTGGGGCCCTTCATGCCCACCCTCTTGTCGCCATGGGGTAGCTCCCAGGCCTCCCTGCCTTTCAGTAGCCCTCGCTTGCATGAAGGTGAGGGCTAAGCCCCTGGGCCTCGTGCTCTGGGCCCCACCCAGAGCACTGCCACCCCACGGCCACCCAGGGTTGTGTATGTCTGTCTGGACACCTGGCTCCACCACCCTGCTGGGGGTGACCCCCCACCCCCACTGTCTCCTATACTGGATCTACCACAGCGCTCCCCACAAACCCTACTGGACACTCCGCTGTGTGCTGCCTCTTCCCGACACCCCCACAATGCACTCCTCAGTAACCACTCACCTCTGACCGTCATCCTTGCATCCATGGCTCAGTAGAATAAGTGCTTGCCTGGCAAGCTCAAGGGCTTGAGTTCAATCCCTAGTTCTGGAAAAAAAAAAAAAAAAACAGAACAGTTTTCACCCTGTGATTTTTCTTTGCTGTGTGGGAGGTTCAGCCCAGGCCCTGCCCACTGAGCATGCCCAGCCCTTTCTCATTGTTTACTTTGAGACAGGGTCTTGCTAAGAGACTAAGTTGCCCAGGCTGGACTCAAACTGCCTATCCTCGTGCCTCAGCCTCCCCAAGTGCTGGGATGACAGGCATGCCACCATGTCCTACTCACCACATAGGCTTAAGACCACACGCACATGCACCCTGTCCTTCCGACCATGGGACCCTGGGGTAGGATGCCAGCGCCTAGCAAGCTTATCTAGAGAGTAGCTGCAGGATGGGCTCGCCAAGCAGTGTCTGGCTGCCCCCACCTACCACTTCCCCGCCTCAGTCCCCAAGCCCCAGACTGCCAGACAGCTCTGGTGCACCTGGCCAGCCATCGTGTGCTGGCACCTCCTGCTGGGCTGTGGTCTTGTGCTCTGAGTGGACGAAGCCTGCCACCGCCCGTGTCCGTGTACCTCACCCTTAGCAGCCATGATCAGGCTGCAGGATGTGACAGACACACACACACAAGGCCCCCAGCCTGGCAGGAGCAGCCAGCAGGTGAACGGGTGAGCAGCAGGTGTTGTTCTCGGGGACAGGGACACAGCCAGCCCACTGTCGCTGTCACAGCTGCAGACCATGTGGCCCCAGGGCCCATGCTTGTGCCTGAGCCCCAGGTTGACAGAGGGCGACAGTCGCTCTTGGCATGTTGGCAGTGTGGTGTCTGCGTGCTTCTGTGGAGCGTGGAGAGGAGGGCCTGACCCGCTGAGCATCTGCTGAGGAGTCGCCCTCTGGTACTCAGCTCAGGGCTGTCACAGCCTGAGGTGGGGCCAGGCCGGGCAGCGGCTCTCTTGGCAGCCTGGGAGCTGACAGGGCCGAGAAAGCCAGCGAGAGCCAGCTCCCGCAAGTGTCCTGGCAGTGCCCGCAGGCCCTGACTGTCCCTCCTCCCCCAGGGCCGATGACTGCTTCTGCGCCTCCCGGAAGCTGGACGCGGTGGCCATCGAAGCCAAGTTCAAGCAGGACCTGGGCTTCCGGATGCTGAACTGCGGGCGGACAGACCTGGTGAAGCAGGCCGTGTCCCTGCTGGGGCCGGACGGCATCAACACCGTGAGCGAGCAGGTACAGCGCCCGCCCGAGCTGCGCTGCCGGCGCCCCTGCCGGCTGCCTGGGGGCTTTCTGTCTTCCCTAAGACTGCTTTGGTTTTCGATTTTAAAATATAAAAATACTCTTGTCCATCTTTATAGAAATAACATGTGATCACTGCAGCTGAAACGGAAGAGAGAAAAATAGATATTTTCAGGAAGGAGATAATGCCCCTGGCAGACGAGCGCCGTGTATTTAGGGTGCCTCTTTGGACTCCTCTCCCAGCACGATCACTGTTGGCTCCCCACCTATCTGCCTGTCACCACACAGGATGTGTCCAGGCCCAATCTACCGAACTTTGAGACACATGGGTCAGTTTGGGGACCGCAGGAGCCACCTGAGACATAGGCAGCTTCGTCCCAGATCCTAAGACTGATACAGGGAGAGGTGAAGGTGTCCCCCGACCTGGGCGACTCCTGGGGGCAGAGACAAAGGCCTCAGTCCCAGCCTGGAGGTTACCAAGGGCAGACGGGCAGCTCGCCTGAGCTCCAGGGAGGGACAGAGCTATTTCCTTTCTGAGGAGGAGTGATTTTCCTGAGTTGCACCAGATAGCCCTCATTCACACACACACACACACACATTTGTTATTTCTTTTGCAATCTGAGGATTTATCATATCTTTTCAAGTATTTCATACAAAAGATAGTTTGCAGTAGTGTTGACTTCATGGGACAATCATGGTGTTCATTCGTGAGCCATAGCTCGATTAACTGCCAGTTGTGTCCGTAGTTCTGATCCTTTTTGCTGATAATGCTGGGCTAAGCTAACCTTGGTGAGTCTTCGTTCAAGTCTCTGATTATTTAATGAGGGAAACTTAAAAGCAGAAATGGTGGCTCAAAGCATCAGCCTGTCCTAAGTCCCTTCCCAGGCTTCCCTACGGTGTCCCCAGCCGGTCCATGGCTCCTGCAAGCCCTCTGTCTCCTGCCTGCTTCTCAGCGGAGCTTTGCCGCTTTCTTGTTTACTTAGAAGAGCTCTTTGTATATCTTGCCATGATGCTTATTGATTACCTTTTGGATTTTGTTCATCATGTTTTCAGTTTTACGTCCTAAATGCTAGAATCATTTTCCTTTCTGACTTCCTCCATGACCTTTATGATTGGAACTAGATCCAGAAGCCACTTAGATATCTTTTGTTGATTGTAAATTTTTCCCGAGATCGCTAAACCGGCAGTGATTCAGGCGTGCTGTGAGGTAAGGTCCCGCCTGTTTTCCGACAGAGCTGCCTTCTCAGGCTGCGAATGGGGCTCCATCCCTCCCTTCCGCTGGCCATGGGGACATGCCTAATAAGCTATTCCTTTCCTCCTTCGCTTGCCTCCTGCTTATGAACGACTCTGCCAAGCTGGTATCAGTGACAGGGACATCACGGGTTCAGAGGCATCCAGCTACCCTGATGCTGGCCAGCAGCTTCCCCAGAGCCAGAGGGTGCTCGTTACATTGTGAAAGAGACAATGTCAAGGAAACCGTTGTTCATCAGTTAGATGGCTTAGGGCTGACACTGCAGAGCCCAGAAAATCCCTGAGAGCCCTAGTTGAAGTCAGTGACTGGTTTTCACAAATAGCGTAGGTCCCTTCTTCCCTGAAATAGACAAATGAACAAAAGCCCTCAACATGAGCAGAGAGAAATGCCAGGGGTGCTGTGAGCTCCCTGCGCCCCTGCACCCAGATTTCCAGAGCATGGGGCCACAGCCCATGAGCCACACTGGGTCTCGAGCAAGCGCGCAGCCCCCAACGTGCGCGAGGACGTTCCCTTTGTGTTTGTTGACTGGCCACCAGCACTTTGTAAACACTGTCCGTTCTTCTGGTTTAACTCACCGCAGGGCATGACCCCCCTGATGTACGCCTGCGTCCGTGGGGACGAGGCAATGGTTCAGATGCTGCTGGACGCCGGAGCGGACCTGAATGTGGAGGTGAGGGCCAGAAGGCTGCAGGGCCCCCAGCAAGCCAGGAGAGGGGGGCCGGCCTCACGGGGCCGCCACCGCCGGGGTGTACCTGGAGAGACAGGCCATTCCTTGCCCTCCTGGTGCTGTACCCTGGCAAGATGGCCTTGTTCATCCCAAGGCCCAGCAGGGCAAGTCCAAGGAGCTCTCTCCTCACGAGTTGCAAGTGGAGCAACCCTAGCCCCATAGGTGGCCCTGCTGTCCTGGTGGTCCCAGCTGCCCCAGGTACACTGTGACCTTCCTTCTGGGACCAGAGCAGCGCTCCCTGAGCTGCCAGCCTGTCCCTTCTGCCTGACCAAAGCAGAAGGTAACTTGGTCCCCAAGCCGAGATGCCCAGACCCTCCGGCTTCCCCACCAGAGCCCGTCGGGACCTGTGAGCCCACAGACCTTACAGCTGATCCCCACTTCCTCAGGGAGCCCTGGGTGTCCCCATCCCCAGGCTTTGGAGCTCGGATGGCCGGGGTCCTTCTGCCCCCACCTGCAGGATGGGAGCTTGATGGCTCCGAGGCCCGGTGGCTGGCAGGACAGACAGAGGGCCCAGTGCAGCAGGTCTGAGGCTCCACTAGGCTCAGCCAGTCCACCTCCCACCAAGCCTGGGAATATGGGACCACACTCTCTGCTGACCCAGAACCCTGCTCTTCCTGGCTGGCTCGGCAGCCATGGGTGTCAGAGAGACAGGTATTCTAGCCAGGAACCTCAGGAAACTTTTAGGTCCAAACTCAGGTGCCCTGCAGTCTCTGTTCTGTGCTTCTTTAACCACTGAGGTGCGTGTTCACATGAGGAAAGCATACAGGAGACCAAGATTTGGATCCAGATCACTTTGGGGATTTTCCTCCCCTGCTCTTGTGCTCAGGCCGGGTGAGGTTCTGTCCTCCCCACAGCCCATCCGCAGTCCAGTGGGCTCCCGCAGGTGTCCCGGCCACGTGGCCTAGGAACATCAAGAGATGAGTGTGAGAGGCTGCAAGCGTGTAGGAGTCCGCCCCAGCTCGCTGCTGGCCCCTCAGCCCATGCTGAGAGCCCAGCGCAGGTGGCTCAGCCCTGGTGGGTCTCCTACTCCCAGCAACATGAGCAGCCCCGACCACAAGGAAGCCAGCCAAGGAACAGGGCCAGGCTCAGAGAGCCATTTGCAGCAGTGACCCCCCCTTCCCCAACCCTCCCGTCTGGTGGTCTGGCCTGGACCCAGAGCTCGGAGGGGCGGCCCTTGCCTGGGGCTGCTGTCCCTGAGAGCCTCCTGGAGCAGTGAGGACAGCTTGGCAGTGACATGTAGTACTTTAGATACTTGCAGCTCTCCCCCCACAAGCTGAAAGAGAAAGGGGATGGGCTGAGGAAGGGTCACTGTGCCCCACCCCGTCACTGCTTATCCCAGAACACAATCCAGAGTGATACCTACAAGGCCACAGAGGATGCAAGTCACTGGAAATTCTCTCTGCCGCCCAGACAAGATCTCCAAAATGGTCCTCTGCTGGCCCACCTTCGGAGGTGGCTTCCGGCTCTGTTCTTGCACTGGCGGGACCAAGGCCAGCACTGGTAGCAACTTCAGGGTGTCCCCCAGGGCCCGCCCAGTCACCAGCACTCCCAGTGGCCATCCGGGAGCCCTTTTCTGGCTGTCTCCCGCCCACTTGCACAGCCACAGATAGGTCAGATTTGCAAGCCAAGCACTGCGAAGGTCGCGTTTTGAAAATAACCTCGTTTGTTTGTAGGTTGTCAGTACTCCTCATAAATATCCATCTGTCCACCCCGAGACCCGCCACTGGACGGCTCTGACTTTTGCCGTGTTGCACGGACATATTCCTGTAGTTCAGGTATTCACGCACTTTCCTTCCGCGTCCGACCTTTCGTTCTACTTCTTGGGTGCAGGCCTGAGCGTCTCCCAGCATGCGTCTTCCCCAAGACATTCATATTGGTTATCTGCAGCTAAATTCACGCCTACATCTGTGGATGAAGCTATTATGCATAATGATTTGTTTGGCCCAGCTTTAACCAATATGAAATTGTCTCGGCCCACACGCAGCCCGCAGAGGGGCACCCACAGACACGGCTCCTGGTCGCCCTGGGCTGGGGCCTCGCTGTGACTTTGTGATTTGCTTGTGTTGCCCGTTGTCATGTGAACAGGAGACCTGTCCCTTGGTGGGGACACTCAGAGCCGCCCCCAGGTGGGACCTGTGTTTCATGGAGCCTGGGGGCTTCCACCCGCAGGAAGAAGCACCCAGAGGACAAGGGGGTGTTTCCAGATAGTGCTGGTTTGGGCCCCGCTCTAGAAGCTCTGACCCAGGAGGGCTGGGGCCGGGCCTTAGCCCATGGTCCTGGTGACACGCCCACATCCGAGGTGTCTGGGCGCAAGATGTTTCTCCTCGAACTTTGCTGGCTGAGGTGGAGCTGAGGCAAGCAAGTCATGCTCCATGCATCCGGGAATATGGCTGGTCTTTGGTTGGTGAAGGATCGGTGGGTGGGTCTGGCCGCGCCTGTTGCCCCGGGGGTACTGAGTTCCAGGACAGAGGTGCTCACCGCCTGTCTGTAGCCCAGGTCTTACAATCCTGTGCAGAGCAGGGGTTGTGTGCAGGGACAACTGGTGGGGTTGGAACCTCACAGAAACCCGCTTTTCCTGAGTAGTGGAGGTCCTGAGGGCAGGCCCAATGTGACAGTCCCGGGGCGTGGCTGTGGCAGGCCACCCTGGACATGGGTGGCTTCTGGCCGCAAAACGTCATTCCCAGTCCCTGCCCAGGAGACGAGTCTAAGAAGGAGGTGAAGGATGGCACTGTACAGAGATGCCACAAATGCCAACCAGCAGGAGGCATTCCCTGCATCAGGAGTGGGGACCGTGCCGTGGAAGCCAGCCACCTCCCCGCAGGGCTCAGGACGGGCTGCCTGGCTGTAACCCATCTGGCTGTGCCCCGGGCGTCCCTCAGGCACACACTGGGTGTCGGGGGGAGGAGGTGGTGTAGACAGGCTCTGCCACCTTTGAGAGGCTTGGGTGCCACCTACTGTGCTGAATCAGATCCTGAGAAGCCAAGCTTGTGGTCTCTCACTCGGCCACGTCCTTATCTCCCGGCCAGAGGTCTCGGGGGCCCCGTGGAGGCTCTGCCCCTAGTGGCCATGGATGTCCCCAAAGGCCTTGGGAACTACAGAGTTGGTGGCTTTGTGAGGCCACTGCACCGCTCTGACCACAAGGGCCTGGCATTCTGGCGCTGAGGACTTCCAGACAGGCTTCCAGCAGCCTCTGTGCAGTGCAGACCCCACAGCTCTTTCTGAGGCACTGCACAGGAAGAGGACTGTGCTGCAGGAGCCCGAGGAGGGTGGACGCGGCCTCCTGACTCACCGTCCAGGGGTCCAGAGCCCCTGGCTCATCCTCCAGCCCCATGCACGCAGCCGTGGCCCCCGGGAGACAGCACCAGCCCTCCCCCATCCCCGTGGTCCTGAAGCATCTCAACGGCCCCTCTTCCCCCAGCTGCTCCTGGACGCCGGGGCCAAGGTGGAGGGCTCGGTGGAGCATGGCGAGGAGAACTACTCCGAGACGCCCCTGCAGCTGGCAGCCGCTGTGGGTAAGCCGCTGTCCCCGCCTGGCTCCTGCATGCGCTGAGAGGCTGTGCTGCTTCAACCCCTCACACACCCTCTCTGGGCTTGCAGGAAACTTTGAGCTGGTTAGCTTGCTGCTGGAGCGGGGTGCAGACCCCCTAATAGGAACCATGTACAGGAATGGGATTTCCACCACCCCCCAGGGGGACATGAACTCGTTCAGCCAGGCCGCAGCTCACGGACACAGGTAGGCTAGGGTGGCCGCGCGGGGCTTGTTAAAAATGCAGATTCCCACGCCTGCCCAGACCCATCTTCTCCCCGGGACTCTTCCTGCCAGCCTGCAAGGCCCCTGCCCAGGCAGCGCACGTCCATGCACTCCCAGCCTGTTCCTCTCACTCCCAGCCGTGTCAGTGTGGTGTGTCAGCCATCAGAAGTAAGAGGATGCCACACGAAAATGCCCAAGGCCCTCACGCCCCTATTTTCCTGCAGAGCTTCCTCTGGACCCACACCCACCCCAGTTCATTCACATCTCCCCAGGGACAGCGGATTGAAGCTGACAGTCAGAAAGGCAGAAAGCTCTAGAGTGTTCTGGAAGTGACCAAGCCCCAAGTTGCCCTCAGCCAACGAAGCCGGTCACGACCTGCCCCCACCTGGTCCATCTGTCCTGCAGGGTCTGGCCCCTGCAGCTGCAACCCCAGAGTGGCCGTCATCCCGGGTGCCCGTGCATCTCTGAGTGTCTTCCTCTCGGGTTTGTGATTGACAGGAATGTGTTCCGCAAACTGCTGGCTCAGCCAGAGAAGGAGAAGAGCGACATCCTGTCCCTGGAGGAGATTCTGGCTGAGGGCACGGACCTGGCAGACGCTGCCCCGCCCGCCCTGTGTGCCAGCCGCAGCAGCAAGGCCAAGCTGAGGGCCCTGAGGGAGGCCATGTACCACAGCGCTGAGCACGGCTACGTGGATGTCACCATTGACATCAGAAGCATAGGTCGGTGTGGAGGTCCCCACTAGGTCAGAGGCCAGCCCCCACCTCTCTCTGCCTCCTCTCTGCCCGTCTGTCACACACACACACACACACACACACACACACACGCCACACCCCAAAAGGCCCAGGGAGCTTCTCCCTCACGGTCCCCCGTTTCCACCACACAGCCCCTGCTGCCTCCCAAACCTGCGATGCTGGCTCTGAATCCCATCCCTGGAGCTGTCAGGCACTGCCCCTGGGGCTGCTGATGGGGTCTGGACAGAAAAGGCTGGAAATCTTTATATTTAACAATCACCCCGGAGCCTAGGTGGTGGAGGAGCCGTGGCCCAAGGGTGCCTGCAGCAGGCCAGCTGGAGCCCAGGGCTTTAGCCTGCGCCACAGCGGCTAGTCACCTCCTGGGGTGGCTGTGTCCCTGGCAGAACAGTTGCATGATAAGTTCCCGTAGCTCCCCATGATGGGCAGAAGCTGTCATTAGAGCAGGTGACATGGAGGAGCTGCAGAGGGGGCAGGGAGGTCAGCTGAGGCCACCGCCAGGTCTTAGCACTCCTCCAGGTGTGGGCACCCTAACATACACAGACTGTCCCTTCCTCGAGCTGCTTCCCGCCCCCCAGCAGAGGGACAGAGGCTGTGTCGAGTGGCAGCCCTCCTGAGCGCGTGCATGGGGGACAGACACCTGCAGCCCAGGCACTGAGCCCTGCCCCAGCTTCTGGCCGTCTTGGCTGCCGCCACTGTGCCTCCCAGGGAAGGGCCAGATGGCGGATGAGAACGAGCCCGCCCCACGGTCCCCCAGGTGTGCCCTGGACCCTGCACACGTGGCTCGAGTCCCTGCGGGTCGCCTTCCAGCAGCACCGCCGGCCGCTCATCCAGTGCTTGCTCAAGGAGTTCAAGACCATCCAGGAGGAGGAGTACACGGAGGAACTCATCACCCAGGGCCTGCCGCTCATGTTCGAGATCCTGAAAGCCAGCAAGGTGCAGGGGCTGGCTGGGGTACGTGGGTGGGGCTTCGAGGTCACCTGATACCCGCTAGGCGGGGCAGAGATGGGGCCCAGCAGGAAGCGGGGGAGGGGAGGCAGCACTCGAGACCCGGATGCAGATCCCGCGGGGTCTCCGGGAGGAGCCACGCAAGAACAGTGCCAAGCGGCTATCCCAAGTCCCACGGCTCACCTTGCTGCCCCCTCCAGGGAATGCTGCAGCCGCGTCAAACAGCAGCTCAGCCCATGGCCACCGGGACATTTGTTCTGAAAAATGTCTCTGGGCCAGGAGTGGTGGCCCATGCCTGCCATCCAGTCCTACACAGGCTGAGGCAGGAAAGCCAGCATGGGTTCAAGGCCAGCTGGAGCTACACAGTGAGCTCAAGAACAGCTTGAACTGCATTTTGAAACCCTGTTTCAGAAACAAAACAGAAAGGAAACCCCTCTGGGGTCACTCCTGTGGCCATGCTGTCTAGGCCCCACCGGGGGTCCTCTGTGCCTATCGGGAGAAACAGACTGGACAGTGTTGATGTGTGGCCCCTCCTGGCTACCAGGCCTGTAATAGGGCCGCTATGGTGAAGGCACCGTGTTGGGACCAACCATTCGGGCTGGAGCCCGAAGCCTCGCCTGCCCAACCTTGTTGGCAGGCGTGGGCTCTGAACCAAAGGGCAGGGCTCAGATCCTGGCTGGGCAGCTTCCCACCGTGGTACCAGCTTCAGCTCTGCTCCTGCCTCCGCTAGCCCAGAGTGAGACAGGAACTGTGCCAACCTCCACGGGTGGTGGAGTGTGCGCGACGAGGCAGTGGCCCGGAGCCCTGTGCAGGAGCAGAGAAGCCGCCTTCTTGGGGCATGTTCTGGGGCCTCACCAGGGAGGGGGGCCCTCCAGCTTCCTGGGGCGCTGCTCTTCGGGGACCCTTCACCTGCGTCGCAGCAGCTCACCCAGAGCTAAGGCACCCATGGGTGGGCTTGGGGAGGAAACCTTACTCCCTGTGGCTGGCTCAGGGGTCTCGGGGACACTTAGCCAGCCACGGGGAGTCACCAATTCTCTTGGCCCCTCCTGGTCAGCATTCCCCCTTTGCCGTGTCCGCCCGACCACAGTACTCAGTGAGGAGGCAGAAGCCACTGGGGACGGCTCCCAGGGCCCTGAGCAAGCCTGGCACCTGGACTTGGGACAGCATCACCCCCACCTTTTTTATTTTTGGAGAATGTGATTCAACTGATTAGTCCCAGATCCCAAAACCCAGCTCAGAAGGAAGCCGAATCAGGAGCGTTTGTCTCGGGGGAGGCAAGTGCAGTCGCGGGGCAGGGTAATTAGCTGCTTCCAGAATTGGAGTTATTGATCAAGCAGAGCTGGGACTGAAAACTTACTTTCCCAGTGCTGGGACCCCGTGGCGCCTGGCCTGTGACCGCAGCCTCCTCACGCGGTTGCGCTTTCCCTGCAGAATGAGGTCATCGGCCAGCAGCTGTGCGTCATCTTCACACACTGCTACGGGCCCTATCCCATCCCCAAGCTGGCAGAAATCAAGAGGAAGCAGACCTCGCGCCTGGGTGAGCGGCCGGGGGCCCTGGAGAGTGCACGGGAGGGAGCAGTAGCTCCCTCTGATCGCAGGCCCTCCTGGGGTCACCAGGCAGGTGCCCCCTCTGATGCCCCTTGTCCACCCAGAGAATACTACCTGCAGGAGAGGGCTCGGCAGTTCCTGCAGGCACCACGCTGGCAGTCTGCTCAGCACTTCCATGAAGCACTCTGTTTAATCCTGTGATAGAGGTGGACCCTGCTTACTCCCACTGCCACTTGACAGAAGGGCACCCGAGGCATGGAGCTGCCCGCTAAGGCGGCCAGGGTCACACGGCAGAGCCCATGTCCTCACCATCTCCTCACTCCCTGTGAGAACACAGAGGAAGAACGCAGGATATAGGGGGGTGTCGACGGGCCACCCCGGGGCAGGTCCTGGGACTGCTAACGCCGCCCTCCCACCCGCCCTGCTCTTCCTTGTAGACCCTCACTTCCTCAACAACAAGGAGATGTCCGACGTCACCTTCCTCGTGGAAGGGAGGCCATTCTACGCTCACAAAGTGCTGCTGTTCACAGCCTCCCCGAGGTGCGTACCCCGCACCTAGCTGCACCCTGCTCTGCCCGTCCTCCAAGGCTCGATGTCCGTGATCTTCTCGCTGCTGTGACTCCCAGAGCAAGGCACCCCTGCTCTTGGCAGGCAGAGCCCATGCCCGGACCAGAGCTTGGCAAGCAGCCCCCGGGGGTCTGCGGGCTCCCTTGGCCAGGCAGCTTTGTGCATTGAGCAGCCTGAGACCCCTCCACGGCAGCCCCAGGAGGCCCCCTCGCCGAGCATCAGGGAAGAGCCTGGCTAAGCCGCCAAAGCTCACAGGTGCTGGCCCTCCTTCTGCCTAGCTGAGCCCACAGGTGCTAGCATTGGGTACAGCAAAGGAAAAAATCACTCCGTGGCTCTGCCACCACGGACCACCCTGCCTTGGGGCTTCCAGGAAGGCTGCTGGCCATGTGTCTGGACTCCCCCAGTTCCCAGAAGCACCTGGCCTCCCCAGGCCCCCAAACCAGAGGCAAACGCCTGCAGTCTTGGTCTCGCGAGAGCATGCTGTGCCTGTGCAGCTCTTGTGGTGGTAAAGACACTGACAGGCCAGAGGCAGCAGGCCTCTCTCGGAGTACCCCATCATCAGAACTCAGCCAACCCAACTCTGGACGTCTGAGCTTCCCCGGCACTGACAGCCAGGGGCTTCCTCGTAGGTTTGGCGGTTGGGCAGGAAATGCACCTAAGATCCCAGGACAAGGGGTCCTTGGGGCAGCTGGGGCTGCCGCAGAGGCAGCAACAGAGTCAGAGTTGCTGTCAGGACCAGAGGGAAGCCGGGACTGAAGCTCAGGAAGAGGCACCCTGGAGAGGCGGTCCTGCCCCCAGCACCCGGCTGGGACAGTCTAAAGCCGCTGCTCTGTGCCACTCACCTCAAAGCACAGCTCTTAGATCCGAGTTTGGCTTCCACTAACGTGGTAGCACCGTAGAGGAACAGTCTGAACCTGGAACCTGAGCTGGGTGTGGTGCGGCACGCCTGTCACCCCAGCTGCTCCAGAGGCTGAGGTGGGAGGGCCAGAACTCGAGGCCAACCTGGGCAGTTTAGACCACACTGGGGTGGCAGAGCTGGGGTCAGGTGGGGAGTAGGGGGGCCCTCTGACCTCCCTGTGTGTTATACAGGTTCAAGGCCCTCCTGTCCAGCAAGCCAGCCAATGATGGCACCTGCATAGAGATTGGCTACGTGAAGTACCCCATCTTCCAGGTGAGCCCTGGGGTCGGGGCCCAGGATGAGCTGCTGGAAGAAGTTGGGCAGGGGCTGGAGCCTGCTGAGCCAGGGCCTGGGGACAGAGGACAGGGGGTGCCCTCTCCTAGAGACTCAAAGTGTAGACAGGGAGGCTGTGAGTGTCCCCTGAAGCAGGGCCAGCTAGCACTGTGGCCGCTCAGAGCCAGGAAATCTGGGAGGAGCCCCTGGAGGAAGGGCTGGGGCTCAGACATTGAAGTTTGAGGAGTTGGGGCCAGAAAAGGGCTAAAGGCTTGAGAACCCAAGATGTCCCAGGGAGAGGACCTCGCCAAGTGGTAGGACCTCAGGCTGCCTTGGTACAGCAAGGCCAGCCAGGCGAGACAAGGCAGGCCCAAGACAGTGGCTCTCCCTTCCTGCACTGGCCCTGGCCCCAGGCCCGCCGCCCGCAGGGCTACCAGGAAGGCGCCATGCCCTTGCGCTAGCCCTGAGGCCTCTGAGGTCTGTCTGGGTTTCCGCCGTTAGAGACGCACTCCTCCTACGGTGTCTGAAACTTGGAAACAGGCTGCTCGCAGCCACGTGGTGCGTGCCGGCTGAGCCCAGCGCTGGGGGGCTGAGGCAGGGGGTGCTCTGGCTGGGTCCCAGCGACGCAGTGAAGCCCATCCCAAAAGACACATGGCTAAAAAGGGAGGAAAGGAAAGAAGAGCCCTCCACAAATAACAAAGGACAAGATGACATGGGTCTCTGGCTCACAGGGATCCAGCAGAGCCAGGAAGGGCCAGGTCAGCACCAGCCCCTCAGACAGGGCTGGACGAGGAGGATAGAAGCCTCCACAGTGCCAGGCAGCCAGGTGGAGAGCGGGGTGAAGGCTGTGCCCCAGGGCAGCCTGGGCTGTTGCACCCCTGACCCACCCTCGCCCCCACTGCCTGCTGATAAGGCAGCACAGGGGACAGAGTGGCCGCAGACCAGCTTTGGGGCGGAGGATCCTGGCCCCGGCAGGCAGTGGTTGTCAGGACCATTACCCCCATTTCTAGAGGGGAAACTGAGGTAGGTGGTGGCACGGACTGGCCTGAACCGTCAGCCTGGTGGAGATGGTGCCAGGGCTCAGTCTCCATCTGCCTGGTACCAAAGCTCAGGACATCACCCAGGCACCGGGATAAGGACATCCCTGAGTCCCACCAGGGCCAGCATCCCCAATGGCAGCACTTTGGAGCATCACATCTGACCCCCCGGGTCGGGACCCAGCTGCTGTCTCCCCGAGTTGGGGACCTGTGTGCTGAGCAGCCTGCTCCGTGCAGTCATAGGTGTCCCTGTCCCTGGGCACAGGCAGGAAGCTTCTAAACACAAGAGCCCAAGCTGCCCCAGCGGGACGCTGCAGGTGAAAGCTCCATGTGCCTGTGATATGCCCCCTCGGGAGGCTGAGGTGGGAAGATTGAAAGTTCAGGCCCCTGGCAACTAGCAGGACTCTATCTTAATGGAAAAACAAAGAAGCTAGGGACACAGCTAGGCAGTAGAGTGCACGCCCATGGGCATGCGGCCCTGGGTTCCATTCCCAGTGCTGCAAAGAGCAAAGAAGAGGAAATGGTCAGGAGGAGGATGAAGAGAAACAGAAGAGAGGGGTCCCGCCCCCTCTGTGGCAAAGCCGAGGGCCTGCGGGCTCTGCCGCCTCTTCCCCTGCTGGCCCCTCGGGTCCTCCTGCGGTCACCAGCCCTGCAGAGGGCAACTCAGGCCCTGAAGCATTTGCCCAGGAACTCGGGGCCAGGCAAGAAGCCTGGCAGGAGCCAAGCCCTCACCCCCAGGATAAGCGCTGCCCTGACCCGGTGTGCGGCCTCTGACTGTTCCCCATAAGTCTTTCCAGCCACTCTGTCCCCACATGGGAAGATGGGGCCACCCTTTCAGGCAAGGAGAAATGCCTCTCGAGGCAGAGAAGGTTATGAAGGAGGCCACAGGTGGGTTGTGCCTGGCTACCCACCTCCCCACCCCTCCAGGGAAGCCCCACACACAGCCTGGCCTGGCCTTGCTCCCTCCACTCCCTAGCAGCGGCCTCGTGGGCAGCCGGGTGCGACTGGGACCCCACTTCCCTCGCTGGGAAGGCCATGCTGGGGCAGGCGTGCCTGCTGCGCCCTCGCACCCTGGGGGAGCCCTGCCAGCACACCCCAGGTGCTGTGGCGCAGGGCAGAGGAGGGGGCGGCCTGAGACTTCCCAGTGCTGCAGGCACCGAGCTAGTTACGTCCCAGAGCCACCCATAGCCACATCCACGCCGAGGGAAGTGCAGGGAAAACACACACCCGGGGCTGGAAGAGCAGAGGGTGGCCAGGGCAAAAAGGCCATGCCATCCAAGGGAGGAGGACGGGGCTGCCGCAGGCGTCATCTGAGGTTGATGCACAAAACACGCGCAGCAGCAGCCGCATTCAGAAGAGGCAGGTGAAGCTCAGCCCTGGCACTGCGAGCTGGCGGATGCGCCCTAAACTTGGCCCGTCACAAGTGCTCCGTGGACATCAGGGCACTGAGGGACAGACACGCCGACCGCGGGGTGAGGCGTGCAGACTCTGAGCTAAGACACCAGAGAGGGCGGGGCTGCGCATCTGCCACATAGGGCTAGGGCCAAGAGGTGGAGGGATTCGGCCTGCAAGCTTCTCTGGGGTGAGAAGTGTTCTGAAACCCTGTGGTAGCGGGGGTGATGCCACGTCGTGTAGATGCTAAAAGCCCACGCTGTTTGCTTTCACTGGGTGTGTTTTGTGCTTGATCGCATCTCGGTAAACTTGTAAACAATACGAAAATTGGTCATGTTAGACACAGCTCAAAGGCAGGCTGGGAGCGTGTGCAGGTGGCCAGCAAGGTGACTGCAGGCAGGAGCAGCACCCAGCAGGGCCCGCTGCCCAAGACAGCTGGCAGCGCATTTGGGCTTCGTCATCACCCGGAACGTGGCAGCACCCCTGCTTTACAGATGGTGCCGGGGCTCCCGAGGCTGCCCCTGCCCTCCAGCTTGGAAGTGTAGCAGCCAGGTCCCCTCCAGGGCTTGCTCTCAGCTGCTGTCCCATGCTGCTCGCCCGCAGCCTGTAGGGTGTGGTGGGCAACCCGCCTTCCATCCCACTGTCCACCACCCAGGCCCAGTGCGTCAAGGCTCGGTTCACTGTCACAGCTGCCCCAGGCCAGGCCCACAAAGCCAGGGGGACAGGGACGGGGGGTCAGGGCCGTCAGCATGGTGCACCCTGAAAGACGAGCACTCAGCTCTCATGGGAGGGGGTGACAAGAGTCCAGACACATCAGCCAGCTTCATTCCACTCAAGTGACAGCCGCTGGCAAAGCTCCTTGGCCTTGTCTACTGTTGGGATGCCATGAGTCCTTGACCGGACATCAGCTTGGGCCACTGAGCCACCCTCAGGGAGCACCAAGACTGCACCTTGCCCCCAGAGGACCCTGCGGGTCATGGGGGTGGGCCATGTCCCCTGGGCAGCTCGAGAGGGCCAGGTCCCAGGAGCCCTGTGATCATGGTGCACAGGCTGTCTGCATCTGGTGCCAGGCAGATCTGGAGTCAGGGTCTCATCCTATCTCAGCTGTGACAGGGTGGGGGCTGGGGTGGGCGGTGGACGGCCCGGCTCACTGCGTTCCTCCCTTCCAGCTGGTCATGCAGTACCTCTACTACGGAGGCCCTGAGTCCTTGCTCATCAAGAACAACGAGATCATGGAGGTGAGGAGCCAGCAGGCCTGTCCTGGCCCGTGGGGAGTGGCACCGGAACAGTGGTGGGGGTGGGGACGGCACCTGGGGTCATCCCCAGACACTGCATTTCCTGGGCAGCACGGGCTCCTCTGGGGTCCCTTGGGGAGATCCCACCTTAATGACTTTGGGGGTGCAGGGGCTCCCAGAGCAGCAGCAGCAGCAGCAAATGACCCAACATCTCCCTTGCCATCCCCCAAACACATCCATGCCTCAGTCTCAGGCCACCCTTTTCCTGGTCACTGCTCCACCCCTAGCCTTACCGCCACGCCCTCTGCCCGAGGCCAAGGGTCCCCACTCCTTTCTGGAAGCAGAAGTCTAATTGGTTTCTCAATCAAAGCTGGGCGTTTTGAGACCAAAGCCACAGAGCGGCTAGGTACAGGGCGCCTGGCTGTCAGACACCCCGAGGATCCGTGCCCCAGCTGCGTGACCTTCTCAGGTTACTTGACCTCTAGGCCTGTTTCTTCACCTGTGAAGGGGTGAGGCCTGGTGTTCTGGAGGCTGCTAGAAGCATCTTTTTGTGAGGGTATAGCCAGCCCAGTACTTCTCCTCCAGCCAGGACAGGGACAGGCAGAGGACAAGGACTCCTGTGTAAACATTTTAGAAATTCCAAAGTCTGAGTAACAAATACTGTTTTTCCGTGACCTGGATCAGATAGAGCTGTACATCAAAACACTGGCTCCAGACCGGTTCCCACAGGAGCGCCTGCCCCAGACATGGGGGTGCCCCTGCCCCTAGCAGCCCTGAGCCCCCGGAGTACGGTCAGGCACAGCAGGGGCCACCCCAACACCGCCCCCACCCCACCATGTTGTACCTCCCTCCCGAAAGCCTGTCACCTCCACACACAGCAGTGTGATCCAGGGACAAAGATTCCTGTCCCCTGGGCCTCAGTGAGGGACAGCAGCATGTTGAAAAGACAGGTGGCAGAGGAGAGAGCCCCAACATGAGGGCCTGGGGTGACACGCGGGATGTGGGGACCTCACTCACACCCATGAGCTGAATGACATCACATACCCTGGCTCTGCGCGCAGCGAGCGGTGGTGACCCCTCCGCCCCTTCACCACCCCCGTGGCCCGGTCCCGCCCAGCCGTCCTCGCTGGGCCCACGGTGCCCCCGCTGCCCCGGCCTTCTCCGCCCTCACGCCCCCTTCGGTTGCAGCTCCTGTCCGCCGCCAAGTTCTTCCAGCTGGATGCCCTGCAGCGCCACTGCGAGATCATCTGCGCCAAAAGCGTCACCACAGACAACTGTGTGGACGTCTACAGCCACGCCAAGGTGAGGCGTGGTGCCCAGCCCAGTGGCAGCGGCAGCCACAGGGACCGTGTTAGGAATGAGAATATCTGGGACACGTCCCCAAACCTCTGAACCAGAAATAAGACGTGGAGTCAGCTGTCTGGTTTCCCTGGCCAGGGACCTGAGCTTGTGTCCCCACTGGGTTTCATGAGAAAAGACGCTGCTGCTTAGAAACCCAGAGGAATAAAATGGGACTCACCCCTAAGGCGGGAGCCACGAAGAAAGTACGAGAAAGCTTTCCCAGGCTGCCGCGTCGCTCGTGCGTGAGGCTCCGGGCTCACCACACTTAGGCACGCACACACATCTTAGCTGACGATTCTGGTTGCTCTGTGCATGACCAATCTTTTCTCTGCTCAGGACGAGCACAGTCAGCCTTGTGAGCCACGGTCGCTCAACTCCTTGTGAACCTGATGCCCACAGTGGCTTTCCCAGGGCTGTACCTTCGTGGCGAGTCCCATTTTATTCCCCTGGGTTTCTAAGTAGCAGCATCTTTCCTTGTGAAACCCAGTGGGGACACAAGCTCAGGTCCCCAGCCAGGGAAACCAGACACAGACTCAGGCCCCCAGCTGGAGAAATAGTCCCCTCCCCTGTGGCCGCCCACTTGCCTCTGCCTCTGCCTCGCAGGGCCACCTGGGCGCCCAACACACACCTCCCTCACAGCCCTACGTGGGGCCAGCGCCAGCCTGCCACCTCCTGCCCCTCTGCATCTGGCTTCCCTGTGCAAGGGTCCACATGGGTCCTGCTCGGTGCAGGTGACGCTGCACATTGAGGCCAGTTCAATAAGAAAGAAGAAAGCAAAAGGATTTTGTTTGGAACCCCACAACACAGGTGTTGGAGGCCAACAGCTGGGCAATGTCATCCTGTTCTGCAGCTGACCACTGAGACAGCTGGGCTTACAGATCACACACACACACTCTCTGTGCATGGCTGAGCTGACTTCGTGCAAAGCCATCAGGAGGCCCTGGAGTTTCCCGTGCCTTTCTCGGCACATCTACCTGAGAACACAGCGTGAGCTGGTCCTGCTTGGCTCTCCACCAATGCAGAAAGCCCAGCTTCGGACCAGGGCGGAGGACATGAGCTGGGAAACCCGGGGGCTCACTCACCGGGGTTTACTGACCACCAGCTATTTCCTAGGAACTTAATTCACCGGAATATAAGAAACTAGTGGGGTTTGGTCCCTATTGCTGAAAAAAAGAAAAACTGGCATCTGAGAGAGGACCAGCAGGCACGGCCTAGGAAGGACCACGTTGTCATGCTCCGCTGTGCAGACCACGCGGCTGCTTCTGTACCTACCCGCTTAGTTCTGCCACTATGGTGCCAAGCAGCCAGATGGGATATGTTCACAAATGGTGTGGTTGTGTTCTAACAAAACTTTATTGACAGGGGACAGGGAGATGGCTCAGTGGAATTGGCGCTTCCCTGGCAAGCATAAGGGCCTGAGTTCAATCCCCAGTTCCGCCAAAAAAAAAAAAAAAAATTAAAAACTTTATTGACAGAAGCACGTAGTGGGCCACATTTGGCCCCGGCAGTTAGGCAGCCTCTAGTCTGAGAAGTGGGAGCTCCAGTTCCACCTCCACCCGCTGTTAGCTGTGTGGACTCGGGCATGTGGACACTCACAGCCACCATTCGGAAAACATCTCCAACTATTTCAATGCATATGTTGTACTTATTCCCCATTGATGTTGCCTGGGCTGAGTGGCAGTCACTTGGAGGGCTGGTACCGGCTGTGATAAGGTAGGGAGGGGCATCATGGCCACAGAACCTGAGAGGCAGCTCTGAGCCTCAGTTTCCCTACCTGTAAGACAAGGCCTTCCAGTCTATGCTGCAAAGGCCGAGGGCCCAGCCCTTTCTGTCGCCCAAGAAGGCACCCACCTTTCTCACCTAACCACACTTCTGCTCCCTCTCGCAGTTCCTTGGAGTCACAGAGCTCTCTGCCTACTGTGAAGGCTACTTCCTGAAAAACATGATGGTCCTCATTGAAAACGAAGCCTTCAAGCAGCTCCTGTACGACAAAAATGGCGAGGGAACAGGCCAGGATGTGCTCCAGGACTTGCAGAGGACGTTGGCCATCAGGATTCAGTCTATCCACCTGTCGTCCTCCAAGGGCTCGGTGGTGTGAGTGTCCAGTGCACGGAGGTGGCCCGGGGACTCCAGCTGTCCCACTGCCCTGGCTGCACCAACACAGGACCCTACCTGGCGTCTGTGGCTCAGCCACACAGCAGCCTCCACTGCCTCGGCTGTGCTTAAATCGGTGAGCGCAGCTCCCACACGTTCCTGTTGGAACTCAGGGCACGGAGCAGGGTGCAGCAGGTGGGGCACCTCCAGTCCACATGGGGCCACCAAGACAACTCTGGCCTTGTGGCCGGGGTTCCCTGGATGTGCTGAGGCCAAAATGCTGCTCAGGCTCTGGGCTAAACCGGACTGCGCTGACCTGGAAGCACTCGTGTCACACGCCTGAGACCTCGGCAGCTGCGCAGAGCGAAGGTCAAACCTGGCAGCTCGTGGATGAGGCTGTTCACGGGATGAGGAGATCACCCGGCCCACTCCAGGGGTGGGAGCTTTTTAAAACTGTTCGTACCCTAACAACAACAGGGCAGTTCTGTAGTTTAAAATATATTTCTAAAAGCTTAACAGTCCATTTTCAACTGAATTGTGTTTAGGGCTCTGTGTTTCGAGGTTCTTTTCTTCTTTTTTAAACAGCAAGCCGCAGGCCCACACTGTGTACACACTCGGTCCGCAAGTTCTCGCTGATATTCCGGACAAGGTGAAAGGACCAAGCCTTAGTGAGCACAGTCACGCAGAAGGGGTGCACTGCCAGCTCCGTTCCAGTAACCTGCATGTTAATCGGGGTGAGGCTAGCACGCCCCACATGACCGCACGCATCTGCATGAGCCGCCACCTGTATGACGTTATGTTTGCGCTTCATTTCTTGCCAAGGTAAAACTGTCCCATCAGTTCTTGCTTAGAAGTCCGCCTGGCGACACTCACACATCCACTTCTCTCATCACGGATGAACTGGGATGCTTTCGCAGAAATGCGCCACAGATGATGTTGGGGGGTGGGGGGACGCACGTCGGAGAATTTTCTCTTAACTCAGAGTTTTTGCTGTATTCTCAGAAGATGTTAATAGTTTGTTACTAGCCAGAGAGTATGACTATGTTAGACTATTTTTCGAGATGAATCATGTATGATAGGAGGTACTTTCTGTATTCCGACAGTGTACAGTTAGGATTCTCTAATGAAAGTCTATATCAACAGGGTTATGTTCGCCTGCCATATATTATATACATATCTATATTATATATAAGCAAAAGAGATTGGTGAAGTGCCACAGTATTCCAATAGCTTCTGAGTTGCGGTCTTTTTCCTGTTCTTTAAATTGGAACCTAGAACGTGTGTGGTTTAAAACTAGGAGAATGACTCTTACCCTTTGGAGTGGCAGGGCCTGGTCGACAAACCCATTTCCTAGCATGCCTGCGGAAAGCTGCGCCGGACTCCGGGTTCTGAGGCACTGCTGTCCGCCCTCCTGCTTGTCCCCTCCGCCCTCGGACAAGTCCTTCCGTGTGTGGCCCGCGTCTGTCGTCTGTCCCCAGCACTGGCTCCTCTGATGTAGCCATGGCTTCTCTTCCCCATGGTCATCTGCAAACCTCTCTCGTTTCATGGTCCCCCAAGGAAGGAGGACACCTGTGCTGCCCACAGAGGGGGCACTGTGGCACAGACCTCAGATCAGCCTCGTGCGGGCGTCCCTACTACCAGCGACTTCTCCGCGAGTGTCTGGTGTGCACTGGGGCCTGTGGGTTTTGGTTTGTACCTGGGCAACCCCCGCCGGGCTTCTGTCCCAGTTTGGTGTGCTCTCTCAGTCATTAAAGCAGTGATTTCCCGCACCGTGCCTGCTTTGTGTGCAGCAAGTGAATTTGGCCAACTGGCTCCAGCTCACCTTCCCCTCAGCTCAGGGATAGCACAGCGGGCAGGGAGGGACAGGAAGATGCTGGCCGGAAGAGGCTCCTAGTGCTGGCGGGGCACTTCTGAGGGAGGCTCGGTCTCCTTCCTGTCACGTGGGAGGCATGGGGCAGATGCCTGCTGGGAGAACTCTCCTGTCCCTCCAGGGTGCACCCTGATGACACTTTGAGGGACTGTGTCACTAGGACAAAGGTGAGTTGATGCCCCTGGATGGTGGCAGCATTCTAGGGTCCAGGTGGGATACAGAGCGGGGAGCAGCCAGTGGTGACTAAGGTCAAGCCAGGTGCCCGGGGGGGCTACTCTGGCCTCAGCAGGCTCCCCGAGAGAGGAGTCCCCTGGCCAGCCCACGGGAGCTGGGTCCCAGAGCTGAGCTGGGAGCTGGGCACAGGGCTGGCCTCGCACCCTCCCTGGGCAGTCACCCTGGCTGCTCTGCAGCCCAGTTCTGTGGGTACTTTAAGAAGCAACCAAAGCAGCCAGCACCAGGCACAGGCAAGCAGAAAGGCACTGTTCTTCTGGCTGGGTACCCCCCTCCGCATAGCCTCAGCTGGGGAGCTACTGGCCTCAGTCCCTGGGAAGGGACAGGCAGCTTTGGCACTAGCACCTCGGCCTGCCCGACAGGACAGGGTCCCTCGGCTCCCAGCCCACGCACGCCACGCCTGGGCATCATGCCCGCCCGGGAGGACCCGCAGGCTCACAGGAGGAAGTCCAGTCCCTCAGGACAGGGCGCAGGCGTGCCCTCGGGTCCTGCCTGGCCGTGCTACGTGGGAACTCGTGTTGCTGCTTCCAGAAACCAGGCAGAAGGCGCTGCTCCAGTGGAGCCTGGGCCTGGTACTCACTGAGGCAGGGCGCTGGGAACGAAAGGCGCTAGGGAGGTGTCCGCCGCAGCAGCCCCGGGGGCCCTGTCTTCACCCCCTCACCACTGATGCTTGTCTCTCGCAGCCTTGCGCTTGCTACCCTGCGTCACAGAGCAGTCACCAAGGTGTCTCTTCTGGTTCCAGTGGCCCCTGCGCCTCTGCCAGTGCTCTCCCAGGGGCCTGGACCCAGCTCTGACCCGAAAACCTCATTCCAAACCAAGGGGCTCCTGGTGAGCAGGGAGACACGGGATGAGTGCCTGACCTGGTTCTCGGAAGCAGTCCAGCCGGGAGTGTACGGGCCTCACAGGCAGATGAACCCATGGGCCTGTTTTCCTCTGGAAACTTGGGTTTAGCTACCCACAGCTCCTGGCAGGGGGTCTGGGGATGAAGGGGAGTCGGCACGGGTGCCCACTGTTGTTGGCACAGAAAGGCATGTCCGAGATTCTAAAGGTCAGGAGAGAAGGCTCAGTTCACACCAGGAAAGGAAAGTTTGTTTCTAGAATGTTCCACAACGGCGGCGATGTCTTGGGGCTTGCTGCTTACTACAAGGAGGATAGGGAAATTCCCCTACCTGGGGCTTCCTGCCCTCAGGAATGAAGAAGTGTGGAAGGCCGCCCATCCGTCATCCTCTTCTACAAAGGTGACATTCGCTGGGTACTGGGGTCGCAGGGTCTTCCAAATTCCTGCTGACTCAGGAATGGAACACTGTCACCTGGCCCTTTCACATTAGGGTCCCACAGCGATCCTGTAACATCCAAGGCCTCACACATGGCCCGAGGGGTCCACAGCCACCAGGGTCAGCATTCAGCACAGGGCTTACAGCCCAGGGCTCTGTGCAGCAGGAGAAGGGACCCCCCAGTGCCCAGTGTCAACCTGGGAACCGCTGTCCACATCAGCTGAACCCACACAGCCCTCACGGCCACTCCAATGTGTTGCTGCCGTCACCCCCTCCCTGGCACCCTGAACTCTCCCTGAAGAAATGTCGTGTCACTCCCACCCCCTCCAGCTGGGCCCAGGCCGTGACCAAAGTGGCACCTGCCACTGGACAGGGCTGTTAACAGAAGCTGGGGCAGTGCCTATTTTTTCCACCCTCTTTCAGAATAACTCAGCAGATTTTGAACTTCCTGCTTGGTAGAAAGAAATAGAACCCGCACTCAGCAATCACATTGCTCCCTGTCGCCATCCTCGATGCAGCAGTCAGATAGCCGGGCCCGTGAAGGGACAGCGCCCAGCTTAGCTCGGACCCTCAAAGCACAGTCCCTCGGCCAGAAGAGGCCATCACGAGGGGCGCCCTGCCAACCCTGGGGCTGTGGCTTTCAGATGACTCAGTCATGCTGCCTCAGGCCTCCAGGACGTGAGCTGTACAGGGGAGGAGGGGTAGGACAGGGGTGCGGCGCTGCTCTGCTCCTGGGGACCTTGCCTGGGCTCACCCCACCCCCTGCACCTGTGTCCTCAGCTCTGAGCTGGTGTCCTGGGCTGGGACCCGCTGCACTCCCCCCACTGCACCCCCACACCAGGACACCAGGGTCGCCGCAGGTGGGGGACAGAGTTGTGACCACACTCCCGGACTTCTGGAAAGGGCACAGAGCAGTGGGGGCTTCCTCACACCAGGCTCCCACTGGGCCCAAGCCACACTCACGCCGAGCTTCCCCTGCGGCTTTGCTCTGAGGCCCACCTCAGGAGCAGAAGGCCACACGCTGCCCCCCTCTCGCAGTGGAGGCATCTTATGTAGCCAACGGCAGCATCAACGCAAGACGTGGCCCGGCACAGCCAGGCACAGGGGTGCGCACCCGTACTCCCAGCACTGAGGGCACTGAGGCAGAAGGATCAGCCTGGAGCCATCTCAAAACCACCAAAAAATAAAAGCCAGAAACGGACGCCCATACAAGGTTTCTAGCGTTGAGACACTGAATGCAGACTCACATGAACACCACCACCACACTCTCCACTCGCGGCCGCAGAGCTGCCTGGCTGCCCTTCTCCAGCCCTGCTTTTCCTCCGGTCACTCTGTCCTTGACCCCGGCAGCCATGTATTTGTCACTGCTATAATGTTATTGCAAAGATGTTATGTAAATGCAGGTCAGGCACTCAGCCTGATGCTCCTGAGGTCCCTGTGAGCTGCTTCCCGTCACTGGGACAAAACACCTGAGCGAGCCCAAGGAGGCAAGCGCCGTCTCGGCTCACGGCGTCAGAGGCCATGGCCAGCTGCCTCTGTGGCTTCTCGTCTGTCGCAAGGCAAGAACATCGTGGGGAGAGGAAGCCGCACAGCTCGAGGCAGCCAGAAGCAGAGAGGTAGAGAGCCAGAGGGGAAGGGGCTCTCTGTGGTCCCTAAGGTCATGCGCTTCAACAAGGCCACACCTCCTAATAACCCACGTGGCTGTGAAGCCCGCCACCTAGCTATGAGCCATCCGTCCATGGGGCCAGTGCCCTAGTGGCGGGAGCTTCCCAAAAGCTCACCTGCTGCCCCCGGGAGCATTTAGAGCCAAACTACAGCAAGCTGGTTCCAAGGGTGCCTTAGTACCAGGCACTCGGGCACCCTTCTTACAGTGCGGTGCTACTAGCGCTCCCTGGTGTGTGTGCATGTCCGTCTCCCACCCCTCCCCCGTGGATGGAACCCAAGCCTCAGGCTACGAGATGAGCACAGGACCAGGCACCACAGCCCCTTCACGGAGCACAGGACAGGTAGGGGAGCAGCAAGGCCTCACCCTGGGGCGCCGATTCTGTCTGCTGGGCCCTGGGGCCCGGGCTCCTGGCCTTCCACCCTGTGGAGGTGTGGAGGTGGGCTCGGTGGCTTGGGCTGGGCCCTGGTGCTCCTGGGCTGGGCCATGCTGAGCAGCAGGGCAGGAGGACGGCTCCACCACCCACGGCTCTGGCCCCCCTTTCGAGTCCCAGCCTGGAACTGCTCAGGAGTTTCTGGTGGCGCGCCAGCCACACAGCAGCAGCTCACTGGGCCGCACAGAGGGGCACAGCCTACAGGACCCCTCACGCGGAGCTGGACTCTCGGGCCTGCGGGTCCGAGTCTGACCCAGTTGCAGGCATGGGTCTCTCCTCTCCCTTGGCTGCGCAGGAGGGAAGAGGCTCCTGCTCATTTCAGGTCTGGGGTGAGGCAGCCCCCGGGAGCTGCAGGAGTCGGGCCCAGGAGAGCAGAGCCATAGCTCAGTCCCCTCCACATCCCATCAAGAGCCCGGGGAACAGAGCTGAGGGCCAGGAGGACCAAGTGGCTACAGGGGACTGCGAGGCCAAAGCTGGGTGCCATGGGGCCCCAGGGTGCAGGAAGAAACGCAGCGGCGTCAGGGCGGCACTTCGTCCATGCCCTTGCAGGCTCCACTGCAGAGTCCCTCGTACATCAAAGGCTTGGTCAGGAGCAGAGGAAGCGCCGGAATAACAACATGCACCTGGCTGCTGCAGGCTCACTACACAGCTCGGGCTTGCAGTGATCCTCCTGCTTTCAGCCTCCACAGTGCTGGGATTACAGGCACACACCACGCACCTGGACTCTGGCCAGCTCAGCCCACCCTGGGGCGGGGCTGGTGCTCCATGTGGTGCTGGGAATCGAACCACAGTCCTCGGGCTGCCTAGGCAGTGCTTCAGTCTGCAGAACTATTTGCTGGCCCAGGGTCTACAGGGTTTTACTACACAGAGCAGGCTTGTAGTGATCCTCCGGTTTGCAGCCTCCAAAGTGCCGGGATTACAAACACACACCACCACACCCAGTCTCAATCGGCATCACAGTGAGCCCGGGGCGGGGCCGGCACAGCACACCAAGGATTGAACCCTGGTCCCTGGGCCTGCCTAAGCAGACACTTTAATCTGCTGAGCTATCTGGCTGGCCCTGCCCAGGCCATTTTTAATAAAGTCTTTTTCTAGAAATTCCATGAACTGGGGAATGAATCCCTACCCAGGAGGGGAGAGTTTCTACAAAGCAATGAGCACGGTGTGCATCAGCCGCGCGGTGCTGGTGCCTAGAAGAGTGGCATTAGCTGTGGGCCACCCTAACAGAGTGTGCGCTCCAACGAGGTGGTGACGGCTCTAGACCGCGCACTGGGGCG